GAGTTTCGACTTCTTCCTGGTTTAGGCTTAGGAGGATGTAAGTGTCCAGGAATTTATTCATTTTTTCTAGGTTTACTATTTTTTTGTGCATAAAAATGTTTGTAATAATCTCTGATGATGGTTTGTATTTCTGTGGAATCTGTGGTGATATTCCTTTTATCTTTTTTTATTACATCTATTTGATTATTCTCTCATTTCTTTTTTATTAATCTGGCTAGTGATCTGTCGTTTTATTCATCTTTTTGAAAAACCAGCTCCTGGATTTATTGCTTTTTTGAAGGGTTTTTTGTGTCTCTATCTCCTTCAGTTCTGCTCTGATCTTAGTTATTTCTTGTCTTCTTCTAGGTTTTGAGTTTTTTTGGTCTTGCTCCTCTAGCTCTTTCAATTTTGACAACAGGGTGTTGATTTTATGTTTTAGCAAAGAGACTGGTGGCATTTTGCCCCTACCCTAGAGATTGTGGAACTTTGAACTTGAGGAAGATGATTTAGGATATCAGCTGGAGAAATTTCTAAGCAGCCGAGCATCCAAGAGATGACTTGGGTGCTATTAAAACCATTCAGTTTTAAAAGGGAAAAAGAGAATAAGAGTTCAGAAATTTTGCAACCTGATGATGTAATAGGAAACCCCATTTTCTGAGGAGAAATTGGGGAGCTAAACAGTAATCACCAAGACAATGGGTAAAACATCTCAAGGTAGGCTCAAGTGCATGTCAGAAGCTTTTGTAGCAGTCCCTTGGATCACAGGCTGGGAGGCCTAGGAAGGAAAAATGGTTTAATGGGTTGGGCTGAAGTTCCCTCTGTTATACGCAGTATGGGTTCTTGGTGCTCTGTGTCCAAGCCCCTCCAGCCGTTACTAAAATGGTCAAAGTATAGCTTGGCCTGTGGCTTCAGAGGGTACAAGCCCTAAGCCTTGGCTCTTGGCAGCTTCCATCTGGTGTTGAGGCTGTGCATGCAGAAAACTCAAAAATTAAGGTTTGAGACCTTCTATCTAGAAGTTGTATGGAAATGCCTGGATGTCTAGGAAGAAGTTTGTTACAGGGGCAGGGTGCTCATGGCCCAGAATGGTAAATCCACTGACAGCTTGCACCATGGGCCTGGAAAAGCTGTGGACACTCAATGCCAGCTCATGACAGCAGCCAGGAGTGGGGCTATACCCTGCAAAGCCACAGGGTCTGAGCCTCACAAAGCCACTGGAGCTTACCTTCTGCATCAGTGTGACCCAGATGTGAGACATGGAGTTAAAGGAGATCATTTTGGAGTTTTTAGATTTGACTACCCTGCTGGATTTTGGATTTGCATAAAGCCTTGTAGCCCCTTTGTTTTGGCTAATTTCTCCCATTTGGAGCAACTGTATTTACCTAATACCTATACATCCATTGTATATAGGAAGTAACTAACTTTGAAATATAAGTGCATGAGATTTGGGAGGGGCCAGGGGCAGAATGCTATGATTTGGCTGTGTCCCCACACAAATCTCATCTTGATTTGTACTCCCATAATTCCCATATGTTGTGGGAGGGAATTATGAGAGGTGGGAGATAATTGAATCATGGGGGAGTTTCTTCTTTATTGTTCTTGTGGTAGTGAGTATTTCTTACAAAAGCTGATTGTTTTATAAGGGGTTTCTGCTTTTGCTTCTCTCGCATTTTCTCTCTTGCCAAGTGCTTTTCACCTTCAACCATGAATGCGAGGCCTCCCTAGCCACTTGGAACTGTAAATCCATTAAACCTTTTTCTTTTGTATCCCAGACTCAGATATGTCTTTATCAGCAGCGTGAAAATGGACTAATACACACACAAATTCAAATGTAGATAGAGATAAAGAAAAATATTTTATAGTAATTAAAAGGACAATTTTTAGGCCTTGTGTGGTGACTCACACCTGTAATCCCAGTGCTTTGGGAAACTGAGGCAGTCACAAGGTCAGGAGTTTGAGACCAACCTAATCAACCTGTTGAACCCCTGTCTCTACTAAAAATACAGAAATTAGCTGGGCATGGTGGTGCATGCCTGTAATCCCAGCTATTCAGGAGGCTGAGGCAGGAAAATGGCTTGAATCTGGGAGGCAGAGGTTGTAGTGAGCCAAGATTGCACCATTGCACTCCAGCCTGGGCAACAGACCAAGAATCCATCTTAAAAAATTAAAAAGAAAAGAAAAATTTTTAAACAATGTAACAGCTTTAAAGTATATATAACCAACAGAAAACACTAGAATAAGTAAAACAAATTGAACACAATTGAATAAAGAAATAGAAAATTAATAGTTGGAGATTACAATATTATTTTATTAATATACTGATCAATTGTTAAGATCAGCAAGAAAGTAAGAGACTTGAACAAATTATAAACAATCTGTACCTAACAGACATTCATAGGATACTCAACCTATAGTAATGAAATAGACATTATTCTCAAATGCACATGAAACTCTCTTAACTATGGAACAAAATACTTTAACAAATTTAAAATAATTAAATAAAAATATCTCTTCAACAACAATGGAGCAAAATTGTAAACAAAGTTAAAGACATTTTGGAAATTCACAAATCTGTGAAAATTAAAACACTACTAAATAACCAGTAAGCCAACAAAAAAATAAAAATTAGAGAATAAATCAAGATGAATAAAAATGAAGGTACATCAACCCCAAACTTTGGAGCTGCCATGACAGCACTGATAAGAGATAAATTTATAGATAAAAAGGATTGCATTATAAAGGAAGAAATATCTTACATCAATAATCTAACTTTCATGTTAAGACATTGGGGGAAAAAATCACAGTAAACCAAAATTAAACAGAAAGAAATATTAAGAACTGAATGAAAATTAATCAAATTGAAAAGAGAAAAGCAATAGGAAGAATCATTAAACCAAAAGTTGTTTATTTGAAAGTTCTACAGCATTGAAAAACTTTTAGCTAGACTGACCAATGTAAGAAGAGGGGATTACAAATCAGGAATGAAGTAAGTAACATTACTACTAACTTTATAGGAATTAAAAGGATTATAAGGTCATATTTTTAACAAAGTATATCCAAAATTTAGATATCATAGGTAAAATTGACAGATTCCTAGAAAGGAACTGAGACTGCCTTAGAAATGCAAAATCTAAACTGTCCTATAACAAGTAAAGAGATTGAATTAGTAACTACCACACACACAAAAAGTGCAGAATCAAAAGAATTTACTGGTAAAATTTACAAAACATCTACAAAAGAGTTTTTATAATTTTTTTCACAACCTTTTCCAGAAAACAGAAAGATTCTCATCTCATTTTATGGGTCCCGTATTATCCTAACACAAAAGCCAGAAAAAAAATCGTAAGAAAAGAAATACATAAGAATTTTACTAATATAGACAACATAAATCATCAACAAAAGGCTAGAAAACTGAATTCAGCAATATATAAAAAGATTATTCTCCATAATGTGGGTTTTATCCTCAGACTGCAAATTTAGTTTGACATCCAAAAATCAATTAATATAATACACTATACTTACAAAGTAAAATATAAAAGTCACTTGAATATCATTAATAAAATTTAGCTATTCTTTCTGATGAACATACTCAAAAACTAGGAATAAAAAGGAGCTTCCTCAGCCTGATAAAGAATATTAAATGATACATGGCTAAATGCATGCCTGATGTTGGGGGGTAAGATCATCAACAAGACAGGGATGTTGGCTTTCATAATTTCTACTCAAAATTTTAGTGGTGATAGGCAACCACGGGGGAGAAAAAGACCTTTATATAGGAATGGATAAAGTAAAATTGTCTCTATTCACAGATGTTAAGTACTGGAGAAGATGCGGAAAAATTGAAATATTCATACATTGCTAATGGAAATATAAAATTGTGAATCTGCTTTGGAAAACAATTTGTTGTTTCCCAAAAAAGGAAATTTATAGACACCATAAGACATAATATTTCTATTCCTGTGTATATACCCAAAATAAATGAAAACATGCTCACACACAAAATTTTTGATGAATGTTCATAGCAGTATTATTAATTAAAGTCAAAAAGTAAAAACCATACAAATGTCAATGAACTGATGAATAGATAGAAATATGGTATTATCTATAGAATATATTTGACAATAAAAATGAATAAATTATTAATAACTTATTGACAGATGGTACTACACAAACCTTGAGAACATTATGCTAGTTGGAAGAAACAAGTCGGAGAGATGAAATATTGCAAGTCATCATTTATAGAAACAGAAATACATTCGCAATTGCCTAGGATTGGGGATGGGAAAGAATGCAAAGTGACTGCTTATGGCTGTGGAATTCTTTTTTGTGGTAATGAAAATGTACTGAATTTGCTCATGGTGATGTGTGCACAATTCTGAATGAATTTTACACAATTAATGTGTAAATTATAGGGCACATAAATTGTATCTCCGTAAAATTGTTATTTAAAATTCTGTGGAGTACAGACCCAATGAAAATACATTCACTGGCATGCCTGATGTCTGCAACAAAGCAAAATGTACCAACAAGTATATTAAACTGCAAGGAAATTGGAGGAGTTTATATCAAGTTTTTAGAGACAAAGTAGTGTAAACACTCTAGTATAACTATACTTAATTGTACAGTTGTATAATTTCTAGTAAACCAATTGCATAATTGTATAATTTTTACTTACAAATCACGTGAAAGTACATCAATTATACATCAAAAAGTAAATCAATTATATAATTTCTACTTTCCTAAATTGAGCAGGTGTGTAAAAAGCCACCAACATTCTCTTTATTCAGTGTGCCTTATTATATATTACATTTATTTATTTCAGTAGCCAAAGATTTCAGGGTATTTATATTTTCATTTGTGACTTCAGTTCCATTGACCATTATTTTGATAAGTTCTTCATTTTCTTAACTATTAATCTAATCTTTGAGAATTTTCAGTTTTACTCTTGCTGTTTAAGAAATCGAAGACATGTAAGTGGTTTGATTGTAATCAATACAATTTTGTTTTGTCTTATGTAACCACAGGATTACACATGAATCGTATATGTGAGGCACTCTATACCTTCTTCTTTTTTTTTTACCAAAGGTAAGATACTCCAGGTCAGATAACTTACCTTATTTATCTCTGTTTTCTTAATATATGGTTCACAAACATAGCCAATGGAATTTTGAGAAATGAGTAAATGGCTCCATAAACAAAATATAATTACAATAAATGAAGGGAAGCTGGGGTATACATTTCACACATCGTAATATAAGTGGCTGCCAAAGAATAAAAAAAGTACACGTGTATTGGAGAAATTACAAAGGGCTGAATTAAAATAAAAACAAAATGTGCACTGGTCTTTAAAGAATCAGTTATATTTAGTCTAGCAAGGGGATTATTATTTCATGAAAGAAATCAAACTCTGTGTCACAGAACATAGGATTGATGAAGAATTGTACCTCTTCTCCTTGGCCATATCTGGCCCATTCTCCTTCTAAGTTCCTGTTCCTTTTGTTTGCTAGACCCAAAGATCAGAGACCATTTAAGGGAGATTAGAAAGGCAAACTCACAGAAGCAGAGAGTAGAGCAGTGGTTGCCGGAGGATAGGGGGATGGGAGAAATGGGGAGATATTAGTAGCAGGGTACAAATTTTTAGTTATTAGCTGAATAAGTTCTGGTTATCGAATATATAACATGGTGACTGTAGTTAATGTTATTTTATTATTTGCTGGAAATTTGCTATGAAAGTAGATCTTAAGTCTTTTCACCACACATACGCTCACACACAATGGTAACGATGTGTACTTATTAATGTCTTAATATAATGTGGTCATCATTACACAGTGAATTAATATATAGAATCATCACATTGCATATTTTGAATATATTCGATTTTTATTTGCCAATGATACCTCAATGAAGCTGGAAGAATGAAAAGAAAAAAGCTCCAAAGCCAAGTGCCTAGTATGAAATCAGAGCTCTTTCATTGAGTGCTCTTGTGCAAATTTCATGACTCCTTTATGATTTGCAGTAAATGGAAATGATAACCAAACCTGTTTCACAGAGTTCATTGAAGAGTTAGGTAAATTAATAAATGAAATTCACTTAGAACAAAGCGCAACACATGGAAAGCATTCAGCATACTTAGTAGTTATTTTAATTAACAAGATTATAGTAACTACATCTCTGTGACAGCAGTTTCTTCTGTAACCTCAAAATCTTGTCACTCAATTTGATACAGTGAAATGTAAAATTATGTCACTTAACAGTTTGCAGATTCCAACAAAACTCATGATAAATATGAAGCTCATAAACCTCAGCCATAAATTCAGGAAGAAAGGCTGGACTCACTTCAAAATGGATGGAAACTATAGTTTAATGCAATAACTACTAACCTTTCTCCATCATTTTTATATGAGATTTTTACTATCTTCAGGTATTTGTCTCCTAAGAGTTACACATCTGAGCTCAAATATTCTTAAGTATATCATAAATAACAAAAATACATGAGCTGTTTCTTGACATGTACACCACGATGAAAATTTGTTAATGGTGCTAATAAGAACAATCTCAAGATCTCACCTTGATTTTATAGCCAATCAATTATGAAGTAGGCAACATTGAATAAATTATAGTTAATCTTCACTACAGCAACAGTAAAACTACTTTATGCTGTAGAAATTTAGATTAACTCAGAGATATCCAAAGGAATAAGGATTTATTACATTTGTCTAGAACTTTGTACTTAAAAGAAAATAAAATTTATGTATCAATATAACCACTCATCAGAAAAGGTTTGTATTATTACATTTATTTTTAAAGATGATGAATCTAAGATATAAAGACCTGAAGTGACAGACACAGAATCACACGAGTATTGAGTTGAATAATCAGTCTCTTTTTGCCACAGCACAATACCTAGCCCTGTGATTAGCTCAGAGGAAGAACAAAATAAATATATATTGAATACATGGATTAATTAGCACTTAAATTAATGAAAGAATAAATGACTATACACATCTTGATTAAACTGAGAAAAGAAATAGGAATTTAGTAGAAACACAGAATAAAAAAGTGTATCAAATTGCCAGGCAGCATACATTGGTTCTATGGCAGAGATGAAATGAGGACAACTGCTTTTGATCACAGCTTTCTATAGTATTTCTAAGGCCAGTGGCTGATATCATACTCAGATCTTTTTTAGGACTTCTCAAATTTATTTAAATACATAAAAGCAAGCATGGATTGTATTATATGTGAACTTTCAGTTGGCAGACAGTGAGAAATTAGAGTCATTGTTGTCTTTGAAAAGTTTGTTGCATTCTTATGAGGTTATACTCTTTCCCCCAGACAAATGCATTTTCTACAATGAGGATTCATAAAATAAAAAATTATTAAAATTGCCAAAATCTTCTCCAGCCTAAGTTTATCACTATTTTAAGCATTTTTATATGTCCTCATCAGTGAATTTTGAATTATGGTTCATAGAATAAAAAGTGTATTATACAATATAAGGGGCCCACCTTAATTTAGATTAATAATTTGCTTATATCATCAAGCATAAAGGATATAAGAACAAAGTCATTTACTCATTTAAATAACACCCATCTCTTTTATGTGGTTTGTTTTATTAATTCAATGAATAAATATTTCATGACAAATTTCTGTTTTCCAGTCACCTTCATAATGGATGATAACACAGAACAAGGCATAACAAGTACTGTTTTTAAAGGAGTTACATTCAAATGAGGGAAGATGTACAATGAAAACATGAACACATAAGACGATTTGAAATGATGATTAATAGTACAAAGGACATAACGCTGGGAAATGTAGACAGAAACTTTAAGGATGGAGCATGGCTGGAAAGGTGAGCAGGTTGTGTGTTTCTAAGGTGATATGTGAGCTAAGACATAAATGTCTTACTTTTTATGCTCAAAAGTAAGCAGAATACTTCAAAGAGGAACACTCCTGGCAAAAGTATCAGCAAGTAAGAAAACTCAATTGAGAATAAGCTTAGGATGTTAGAATAGCTGCATATAAAGGGTAATGTGACTGAAACACAGTAAGTGAGGGGTGAGGAAGGAATTCTGAAAGATAAGATCTGAGAGGTATGCAGGAACCGGAGTACCTGAGAGTCTTGTAGGCATGGAGTTTGCATACTCCATGTGGCAAAGCAGTTGAGAAAAATGAGTTAATAAAAAGGGCGGGGGAAGAAAGTATAAAAGGCAAGGCCAACCTTGGAAAGGAAGTAAATTGTAAGATCCAGGGAAAAATAATGCTTATAGGGTTTACATAAGTTTTATTAGGTAAAATCTGGTCCAGTGAACTTCAAGGTGAATAGTGTGGCCATTTGGTTGAAAACAGATTGGACCAAAGTGTACAAATGTAAATATAATGATGTTGTGTTGTATATAGTATTTTCCAGGGTCTGCTAATGGGAGTGAGTCAAAGCCAAGCCTGAGTGGCATCCATAAATGTCTCCATCCAATTGCAGGGGATGATGTATGTTGGGAGGAGAGCTGGCTGAGCTAGGACAGATACAGTTAGGGTAATCTGAGGCTGCTGGAGGCTGTGGGTGAAGGTGAGAGTGGAAGGTGGATGGGTAGTGTGCAAGAATAGAGAGCTTGGAGAGATCTGCCATGTAGTCTAGGAGTACAGCCAAAGTCAAAGATGGCTACAGCTCAGGTGTGGAGTTCAAAGTGCAATTAAGTTAGACAAAAGGTTAAGAGGTTGAAATGAAGAACAAATAGCTCACACCTGTTGCCACGAAAGATCAGAAGATACTGTATATTGCAGACTCCATGGCTATAGAGTAATCCTGACAACTGTAACAGCCCTGTTTGATTAGACAGTTACAGCAATGTTCAGATAATTAAAAATTGGAAATTTTGTCTTTTCTGTTTACTGTCTGCTAAAAACATAGCTTAAAACCATTAATATAGATGTTACAATCCATTTGATTCAGCATCTCAGATCTAATTTTAAGAAATGTACTTAATTAAATAAGAAAATTAGGTTAATGAATGACTTTAATCTTTACAGATATACTTTTTGATATGCATTATAGTAAGAGGAGCCAGCATATGAACAGAGAGAGCATGTGGTCCTCCACCCAAGAGATAATGACCATCATTGTTTCCTGTCCAATCTAATCAGAGCATTTCAAATCTATATTTCAAAGCCAGATAGGCTTTGGGTCCTGGCCAAGGCACTCCAGACACTGTCACATTGGCTTTCTTCCCATTGACCCACTGAAATATGCAAAGGGGGAATCACGTTTAAATATTTTAGTGCCAACTGGCTGATTTCACTCCCAACCCAGTACTCAGCGCCAAGACCTCCTGTAACAAAGAAAGTAACAAAGAAAGGAAGAGTCAGCCAAGATTATTGCAAAATAACTATATAAAGAGCCAATGTATCTATACTCTTTTTAAAAAATGGCATTTTTTATACCTTTTTTACACTTCCATCCTAGGAAAATTTTCTCTTTCATTAGATAAACTTTGTTTATTCAAAAAATTATCTATTGAGTGCTGGGAACTGTGCTAAATACTTTGTATACACTGTGCATTAATACATGAACATATTAACATTAAAATCAATAATAACTTACATGAAGGAAATCATGGAGGTTAAATGACAGAAAATATTGAAGTAACAAAGTTGGAGGAACCGAGGACTTTGGCAAGCAAATTGAGAACCACCAATTTGAAAAAAAAAAAAAAAAAAGCGTAGGTATATGCTTACATATCATTGCCTATGTTTTATATGTTCAGCACATTCCTTCCCATGTTCTACCACCTTCTACCTAAGTCCTTTTGGATTCTTCTTCTGGTTTAGGTATCTTGGAAAAGCAAGACAATAGGCAGAAATAGGATGTCTTTCTTATTATTTCTCTAGTGACTGTTGTAGCTGCTTTCATCACAACTGGTCTTTATCTTGTTACGGTCACAAAATGTGAGATTTCATAAACAGCTATTCTAATATAGACAATTTTATCTCAATTTCAAGTATTAAAACCTGTCATATTTGACTAGAAGGAATACTACTAGGTACTCTACAGGAATTAATTATGGTCCTTACCATCAAATTTATGGCCATTTACAAGAAAGCTTTGTAAACAACAATAGAGGATGCTTTAAAAAGCATATTTCTGATGCATGCTATAAAAGGTAGTGGTTTTGCTGGCTGTACACTATTTTTTTTTTTTTTTTGAGATAGAGTCTTGCTCTGTCACCAGGCTGGAGCACAGTGGCGCAATCTCGGCTTGCTGCAACCTCCACCACCTGGGTTCAAGCGATTCTTCCGCCTCAGCCTCCAGAGTAGCTGGTACCACAGGCATGTGCCACCATGCCAGGCTATTTTTTTGTATTTTTAGTAGAGATGGGGTTTCACCATGTTGGCCAGGATGGTCTTGATCTCTTGACCTCGTGATCCGACCGCCTCAGCTTCCCAAAGTGCTGGGATTATAGGCGTGAGCCACTGCGCCCGGCCGGCTGTACACTATTTTGTCAGACAAAAGCTGCATGAACTGTTGCTTCATTGATTCAATGGTGACTTGAAGCATATCCTCCTTAGTGTTCCCAGCCTTGTTCACATGTCTTACAGGAACTAAAGACCATCCTCCATGTATCGGTTGCCACATCTACATATATAATTGTTAACATCTCCAAATGGAAGTTAATGTACTTCTTCTTCTTAGGCTCTGTATTCATACCTCCAAATCAACCTCATTCTGTCAAAATAGCATTCCATTGTATCATTCTGTAAGATTTTATGTTCCTACTTCATTTTGAAAACTATAGATACAACTTTTTTCATTTAAGCTCAGCTTTATATCAATGTTTTGTCCCATTTCTTAGCATTTCTGAATTATTACCAGTATGTGGACGATATAGCTAGCTAGAGGATGTCTACATTTGCTTAGGATACCTTGTTGCTTAAAACAGAAATCCACCATGTGAGATCTTTGAATCTTGATTTTCTCCAAGGTCTTAACAATGCAGGTTTCACAAAGTTTGAAAATATAAAATAAATCTTTGTATATACAAATGCACAGATTATTTCAACATTTATGATAATTTGAGGTTTTATCAATATTATTCACTATCACATTGTATTAGCTAATGTCATTTTATATGAGTGAGAGGAAATAAGAAAGAAAATAGATTGATCAGAGACAAAAAGAAAATCCAGTGCAGGGAAACTGAATGGTATACAAGTTGACTTGAGTAATGTGAAGGGGAGATATTCTGAATAAAAGAGACTAGTGCTCATAGAAAGAGCTCAGGATTCTAAGGGGAACTTTATTCCACCTCAGAGCAATGTTAAATGATGTCCTCTTTAGTATAAAGTATTGCAGTCAAAACCTTTATATTAATACATGAGAAACAAGTAAACTATTTTCCTGCCAACTGGATGTTCCAAATTCAGAATTTCATGGAAATCATCACACTCCTAGAAACAGACCGAATATAGAATAAAATGTTACTTCCTTTAATGTATAAATTAGTTATGTTTAAAGCCAATATTGTTATGTGGAGAGTGAGAGGAAATATGAGAAAATGAAGGGTGAAAGATAATAAGAAAAGATACTTGTAAAGAAGTTGGTGCCTTTTTGTTTGATTTTTGTTTTGTTTTGCCTTGCCTTTTTTTTTTAAAGTAAAGCTCTGAAGGAGACTGACTGTACAAGTTTACTTGACAGTATTTTTCATCATCGACATCCCTATCACATTCATCTATTTCAGACATTACATTCATCCAGGAAAGCCAACTCTGGTGTTACAAATGCAGTGGCAAACAGCAAGGTACATGTTATTCTTGTTTAGAAGAATAAAATCAAATAATGTGTTTTAACAGTTTACCCTATGTATTTATCAGAGTGGAACCTAGAGGATTTCATATTCATTGAAAGTTTAGAAGGACTGTAACCCAATTTGTAAAGTCTCCATAGCTACTTGGAAAATGTTAGAAGGCAGCTTTCCTTTTCTTGTGGACCTGCAGGCTCACTTAGGCAAGGCCATGTGAGTGCTGAAAATTGAATTATAGAAACATTAAAGAAAAAATATTTTATAGCATTTAAATGGATTCTCTATACTTGAGATTAAAAAAAAAACTTTTCTCTTAGATAGCTAAATGTTGCTGTTACGTGTGTATTACCTTTATTTGTTTATGCCAGTGACTCTCAACCATGCTGCAAATTGGAATCACCCTCAATAGGGAATTCGGCTATCTCCCCTTCCCCACAGATATGTTAAATTAGACTTCTTAGAGTTGTGCTGTAAGCATCCATATTTTAAAATAACCCCCAGAATGACTTTTACATAGATACAAGTCTGAGGACAACTGAGATAAACAAAGTTTTCTCCCTACTTCCACCACTGTCCTATCTACAGAGGGGAATTTCAGTGCTTCTGTTGTTTGAATCATCTGAAACTTCAATTTGTAAAGTCCAAATTCAAAAATGCTTTAAATGCGCAATTGCAACACAAAATATTCATAAGAGAAATTGCTTTGATTTTCAATGATGTTTCTTAAGGACTTCTAATCAACTAAGAATCATTAGTATGTAAGGTTGAAATGATTTGCACAGACCATTTCAAATTCTAAAGTTAAAAAAATATGTAGAGTTTGGACTAAGAATGTCTGAGTACTAGTGGTACAGATTCTTAATGTGTTCACACATTATCTCCAATGTTTCTATGTTAGGAAAATTGGGAATGAGGAGAATAATGTATATTATGGAGACACCATTTTATAGACAAAATGTCAAATATCAGTTAAACTAAAAGCTTCTCATATCCTTCTTTACATTATGTAATGTCACCAGAGTCTTGAAAATCTTGCTCAGGGAATGAACACAAGTTGCTGCTGTTTTATCTTATTACTGTTAGGTTTCATTACCCTCTGAAAGACATTTAAAAACGAAATGTCTTCAAACTAAATGACATTCAGAACCAGCGTTTGAAATTGAGACTCTTTTTTCATTTCTGAATTGTCTTTTAGTTTTTGTAAAACTGTCTTTAAAAGAATGTACCTATCATCTAAGAAGTTAACTTCCACTAAAGAATAATTAGTGAACAGCTCTGAAATGTATTCCTCGTTCATTCATACAACGTATATTTCCTTCATGCCTCCTCATAAATCTATACACTCATTGTTTTAGGGGCTGAGATTATCATGGAAAATCTCTTAACATCTTTCTTAAGATTGTTTAAAAGGGAAAACAGAATAGTGGTAAAATTTTGATATAGAATTTGACGAAAAAGAAACATGCTAGGATAGAAACATCTGTCTGGAGGCCAAAGCCACTTCATCTTGTATATTAATCCACTATGTTGACATCTGCTTAATGCCAGTTCTGAGGAGTCCTATACAAATTCCAGCTTATATATTGTTTCTTGTTTCTTATAAATTCTGCCGTTAGGTCTAACAACCTTGATGTAATGGTACGTCAATTCTTCTACACATCCCTTCTGGACTACCCTTTCCCTATGGTATACAAGCCCTGGGTTTAAGGGACAATGGCACAGGGATTCACCATTTTGTCTTGCCACCATCTGAGACAGAGATATAGCTTCTGTTTTTAAGTTCTGATTAAATGTTTTTTTCTGAGAAATTGTATTTGTCAGCTTCTTTCTTTGGTCACTCATCTTCCACAGACTTCGGGGTAGGTTTGCATGGTTCATGGAAAGAATGGCTCATGGAGAGAGTAGCAAACAGTGATATGACACTTCTTAGAGTTTATTTGTGATGTATTCTTACTATTTTAAAATGAAAAGGTCAAGTTGACCTATAGGGGGATTGTTTTAAGGAGATTTATACTCTGGGATCACACTTTTGAAAGGCAAAATATTCTTTGCCCAATTAACAATACAAATTCAGGAATAATTATTTACCACTTCTACAAACTGATGATAATGCAGTGCACTTGGTTGTTATGGATTTAAAAATTTCTGAAGATAATATGTAGTTAAAAATAATTGGCCCGGGGTGCCGTGGCTCACGCCTGTAATCCAGCACTTAAGGATCGAGACCATCCTGGCTAACACGATGAAACCCTGTCTCTACTAAAAATACAACAAAAACAACAAAAAAAAATTAGCCAGATGTGGTGGCACATTCCTGTAGTCCCAGCTACTCAGGAGGCTGAGGCAGGAGAATCGCTTGAACCTGGGAGGTGAAGGTTGCAGTGAGCTGGGATCACGCCACTGGGATCACGACAGAGTGAGACTGCATCTCAAAAAAAAAAAAAAAAAAAAAAATCGAAGATATTCAACCCTGTGTCAAGTCAAGTACATGTTGCCCATTCAGTCAAACAGGTAATCTTACCTCAAGAAAGCTCCTCTGACAGTTTTCCCCATTAGTGAAGAACCCATTCTTCTAGTTATTTGGGCTAACCACATTAAACTAGACCATTCTCACTTTATGTTTTACTTATATACTTTTGAAACTTTTCTGCTTTTCTTCTTTAGAGTGTAAACTCCATAAAAGCAAGAATTTTTGTGTGTTTAGCTCAATACTTCACTCCTATCAATGCATAACACATGGTAAGCATTCAGTAATGATTTAACATTGGTGAATATAATTGCTTCTAAAAAGCAATTCAGAAAGCTATGAAACATTATATTGATGCGGTGGCTTTCTCAGATATCAAGCTTTCTAAATAAGAGTTTAATTATGCTAGTATATATGAAGAAGGTGAAAAACAGGCTTTGATTAACACTGGGAAGTAAAGTAAAGTTGAAAGTGGTATCACCCACTATAAAGTCACTCTTCCCAAAATTCTCTGTTCAGTTATATTAGTACAGATGACAATGCAATCTGCTTTTCTGAAGCCTCATTGCCTATACATGGAAGAAAGTGGAGTTGAATAATTCCTTGTTTTTCGAGAATCTGTGTAGAATGCTATCCATCTCTACTTAGACTTCGAAAGATCCTTGAAACTAGAGGTTGTGTCTTTTTATTTTGTTTTACGTCAATTAGGACTAGAAAAGGTTTGCATAAAACTACTGGCAAATTTACCCATTCAGTAAATAATTGATAGAAAAACAATTTAATTGCACTAAAAAGACAACTCTATAAAAATAATTAGGTAATTAAATTTAGAGAACTCTGAAGACAGTCTTCTGGGAGATAACTTTTTTCTTTGTCTCAGCCAGTTCAAGTTGAAGCCTCTGGTCTCTGGCCAAAAGACTGTTTTTACCAGCCCCTTGTCTACATGGCCTGGGAGAGTTTTTAGGCTGTGATATGAAAATAAACCTGTATTTTTATTAAAAATGTAGATTCATGGGCCAAAAGCCATATCTACTGAATCAGAATCTGTTAATGTAGGGCTCCAAAACTTGCAGTTTTAATAAATGTCCCAGGTTATCCTTTAACCCTAAAAATTGAGAACCATGTTGCTTAGAGATTACAGCCAAGTGCTGAGATATACCCATTTTATGTCCTTCATACTGTATGGTATATATTTCTATTTATTGTTTGCTGTAATCAAAAGTTATAATCGAATGTTGTTAATCAAAAACCTTTTAAAATAAACAATGGGATATAATTTCATTAAAAGTTTGATCCTGGCTGCTAAATTATTTCTTTTAACCTACTACACACTCATAGCCCTGTTACTATCTTAATGTCCATTTTACCCCAGCATGATTTCTATAGTAGAAAACAACCTTGTGTTTTAAGGTGACAAACCTTCCTAGACCACAATAATGATGATTCAAACTGGAGTCATGGTATGAATTTAATTATTTCTGAAATATTAATAGCTGCCACCTGAATGAACTTGGGGCAATATGATAATATGATAAAATGGTTCCACTGATTGCTGGCAGGGAGGAGAGGCAAGTTAGCTTTTCACTGAACTTGTGATATAAGGAAAAGTGTGGGATTGGCTTCTGTCATTTGCAGAATGTTGAGTTCACAAGCACACTAGAAACTAAGTACATAGCAAAGAGTTCATTTTCAGTAAATCACTCAAGATATTTGGGTTCTAGGAAAACGATGAAATTAAGTCTGCTGAAGAACTTCATATTGATCTTTTCTGGTTGCCAGAGGCTCTCTTAATAGAACAAAGAACAAATCAGATGGATGTGTCACACTGGGCACTACAAATATATTTGAATGATTATTTAAATAAAAACAAGTACATTGAAACTCTGCTCTTTAAATAGCTTTATTGATTGTTAGGTAAGACCTAACTATAGAAAACAAGCAAAATGAATTTTGAAAGCAAAAGAAACAACAACAATAAACCCACAAAAGACAAAAACAAAATAATATAAATAACTTTATAGACCTGTTTTTAATTTTGTACTTATCAGTGCTGTGGAACTCTTAGTGTAGTATCACTAAATAATGTTACATTAATTTGTCAAAAGTGATTTCTAATACATTTTTAAACTTGAATCTTACAGAGAAAAATCTTATAATGTGAAAGCTTTAGGAAATAGATCTGGGATATCTTATGCCAAAGTGAGTTTTTGAATTTTAGAACTGATGATTTTACTCTTCTTTTCAGTAGTTCTCTCCTGCTTCCTCTCTGAAAATACGTAAAACTTTGAAAATAGTAAATCTGTACAACAGTGTTTTACCTTAAGCAAACTCAAACAGAATTTTTTTATATTACATTTTCAGTTCATAAAAAATAATGGGTAAACACTATAGGATTGGTCATTAGTAAAATGCAATGCCATGAAACTCAGAGTCAAAAAGAGGAGCAAAGTTTCAATTTAATTTATTCAGATAATTTTGAGTGAAGAAGCTTTATAATTCTGTGGACATCTATCCAACCCAAAGTGTAACTGGTTAGATCCATCATTACTTTATTTTATTTTATTTTATTTACTTATTTATTGGTGAGCTTGAATACATCGGGATTTCCTAATGTCTAGGCTTGAGTGATTTACTCTTAATAAATGCATGCCATTTATTTCAATAAAAATTAAAA